CCAAGGAGCTCTGCTTCTCCATGGGGCCGGGGGCTCGGGGGCTCCAGCGTCCTGGGTGGAAACCAGCCCGAATAGCAGCACCGTGCTGGAGCGTGGAGGGGGGGCATCGGCCTGCGGCTGGCTCCGCTCCTCCCCTTCAATTAGACGCCCAATGGTCGAATGAATGCGGGGGCGAGTGGCTTTGCCCAGGCAATTAGAGGCATCCTGGGCCTATAACGAGTCCCCTCGGATGCCCTAACGAACCAGCCTGCGGTTCCCACCCCGGCAGACATCCGCTCCGCGCTATAACCCGCTGCTCCGTGGCCAGGAGCCTGCTCCCTTCCTCCACCCTGGGTGTGCTGATTTCCAGGCCCATTGTCGCAGGTTAAAAATACCCAGGCGGGAAGGTGAGCCCTGCTTCGCCCTTCCTCCTCGCCCCACCCAAGCAGCCCTCTTTCCCCTTTGCGAGCAGGACGGCCGCCGGGTCTAAAATAGCCGCCGAGAAGCACGTAATTAAGACGGCCTTAAAATAAAGGCGCAGGTCTTAATTTCAGCTTGGATCTCTCCGGGCTGCATCCGTCCGGGCTCCCCGTAACCACAGGTGGCCGGTTCCTGTTCTGTCCCGGTGCCGCGCTCCCCCGGCTGCATCTCTTTTTTCGTCTTCTGCGGGTACAAGCAGCCGGACAGAAAACCCGGGGAGTGTTTCAAGGGAAAAAGTTAAACAGGCTGGTGCACTTCAAATGCACCTGGGAGCTTTGTGCGGCTGGGGAGTGGTGGCAAAGCCAGGCAGAAGTTACGGCCTGTTGTTATATATTTTTTGTCTCCTTCCCCCCACCCACATCCCTTTGCTGGGACAATGGGAATGTTGCAGGAACCGGCAGGGCCAGGTTGGGTGGGTTTTTTGGTTTTTTTTTTCTCCCCAGCTGGGGCCAAGGCAAAGGGGGGTGGAAAGAGCTCCCTGCTGCTGGCGTCTGCCCCCACAGGAGGGTGGAAAGCGTGCCCCTTTGCACACCTTCCCCCGGGGAGAAGACAAAGGTGGCTGTGTATGCCCAGAAGTTTCCAAACAATGGGCTGAGTTGGGAGGGGAGGCTGCCTTAAGGTGGACTGGGTAGGGCCCTGGCGCGTCCTGTGTACCCATTGCTGGGGCAGGGCAGTGCATGCCAGGGCTCAGTGGGGGCAGGGGGTCTTAGCCCCCCCACCGGGGCCTGGCCAGGTGTGAAAAGCCCCATCCCAGTCAGTGGAGCCACCTGGACCCCCTTCCTCCCCCAGCTCTCTCCAGGTTAACCCTTAACAGCGAGCTTGCCTGCCTGCCACTGCAGCGATGCTTTCAAATCCCCTGGGCATGCGCCGGCGTCTTGTCTCCGCCAGCCCCGCTCTCGCAAAGGGGGCTTGCACCTCTGAGGGGGCTTGCCCCAGGGGGAGGCCAGCGGGGCCAGGCTGGGGGAGATGGGTGTAGCTCCCCCACAGCTGAGACCTGGACGCAGGCAGACGGATGCAGCAGCAGGGCACGTCCTGGGCTTTGCCCTGGGGCACTGGGTTGGCCAAGTGCTGGCAGCTGGAGCCCGGCAGCGCCTCTCTGCTGTTGTGGGCCCTGGGCAGGGTGGCGGGAGGGGGTGGGCAGTGACTTCCCCAGCAGCTGCGGGGAATGGCTCAGAGGGTCACCTGGGAGCACGGGCACCAGGGGCTGCGACTGGGGAGGGGAAGCCTTTGGGATGGGAATGGCTGCCTCGACTGGCACAACTCTGTGCCTCGGTTTACCTGTCTGAAGGGATGGGGCAAGGGGAGCAGTGTCCGATGCCTGTGTCGTGCTTAGGAGCTGGAGTTTGCGCTGGGTGGCTGGGAGCTTCTGGCAAGTGGCTGTGCCCAGTGCTGTCTGGGCAGTCGGAAAGTCCCCCCATGGGAGAGGAAAGCCCTGGCTGTCCTGATTCCCAGCCCAGCGCCCTCTCCGTGAGGCCATTCCCTTGGCTTGCCTGACCCTCCCGGCCCTGCACGCGGGCTGGGCCTGGGGCGGGTCCCTGCGGGGCCACACGTGGGTGGAAGGCCGGTGCAAGGCGTCGCAGGTGGCAGTGGCGGGGCGGTATCTGCATCCTGCGCCCAGGCGGCTGCTGCCTCCCGATAGCAGGGCTCTGCTAATCAGCAGCAGCCTGAAGGCCAAGGTCAGGGGGGCAGGGATGTTTCCCAGCCCTCTGCACCCCTGGGGGAAGCAGCCTGTGGATGGGGGCAGCGTGGCACCCTCCCTGCTTGGCCTGACCATGACCCCAGCCTGGGGTGGGGGGCACCTGGAACAGCCGGGGGTCCTATCGCAGGGCTGCAGTCATATCCGTAGAGCCTGAAGGCCTCTTGCTGTCTAGCACCGGGGCCATGTGGAGCTGCCCCGATGGTGCCACGGACAGGGCAGAGGCTTGGCACATCCAGTGCTCTCAGGCAGGACAGGACGGGATGGGACGGCTGGGGGAGCACGGAGCCCCTTGCTGAGCCCCTCCACCCTGCCCGCAGCCTCCCTGCCCTTCATCATCCTGACGCTCGTGAACTCCCCGTACAAACGTGGCTTCTACTGCAATGACGACTCCATCCGCTACCCCTACAAGGCCGACACCATCACCCACGGGCTCATGGCCGGTGTCACCATCACCTGCACCGTCGTCATCGTAAGCACATTGGGGCTGGGGGGCTGCCTCCTTCTGCATGCCCTGGCTCCAGGCCCTCCCTGTGCTGACCCTCTCCTGGCCCTGCAGGTCTCGGTGGGCGAAGCCTACCTGGTGTACACAGACCGCCTCTACTCCAGGTCGGAGTTCAACAACTACCTGGCGGCGCTGTACAAGGTGGTGGGCACCTTCCTCTTCGGCAGTGCCGTCAGCCAGTCCCTCACTGACCTGGCCAAGTACATGATCGGGCGCCTGCGCCCCAACTTCCTGGCTGTCTGCGACCCCGACTGGGCCAAGGTGAACTGCTCCATCTACATGCAGTTGGACAGCGTGTGCCGGGGCGACAGCCGCAACATCACCGAGTCCAGGTGCCCACAGGCCCTCCCGGTGGTAGGGGGGCCGGGGGCTGCATTGGGCCTGTCTCCCCCAGGGTGTAAGGAGATGCAGCCCCTCAGCTCTGGAGGTGGAGGCGGGGGTCTGTCTGGGGCTGGGGGCTGGCGATTGATCCTGCAGGGCTGGTGCGAGCGGTGGGATGGGGGCGTTTCTTTCTGTCTCACCCCTTCCCTGTCTTCTTCCAGGCTGTCCTTCTACTCGGGGCACTCTTCCTTTGGGATGTACTGCATGATGTTCCTGGCGGTGAGTGACCCTTGGGGA